CGCCATTTTGAATAGAAATATTCACTTGTATTAGTATAAATTTTTAATTGTTTTGTCGGTAGTGATATCGGTTTTAATGTACTATGCTATCATTCCGAATATCACATTTCTTACCCCACAAATAGTGTACAGTGATTTCTTGTAACCCAATTTTAACACAAAACTAACTAACAAAACGAAATGAAAATGTTTTAAAGTCACGGTGTCAACAAAGCCATCCAGCCATAATTTTGTATCTGACATATATATGGTGTTTTAACCAGGTATAAAACTTTAAAATGGATATATGATGGAATCGGCCGATACTTTATGAAAATCCATAACCAACGTATTCTAAAAACACTTTATTGTGTGATTTTCATTAGATAGTTTTACAAAAACGCAACACGTGTTTCGCCATACAATGGCTTCCTCGGGCGTGTCTGGAATAAAACTAAGATTACATTTTCAAATTAACAAGTAATTTACTTTATTCGAAATGCTGGCATTGTAATTTAAATATGACTTCTGGCATATGACCGCCACAGCTGGCTCGGAAGTAGTCTAACCTGGAGGTCCAATTTTAGATGTCTTTTTCCAACATTTGAGGACTTATATCGGCAATATAGCGGCGAATGTTGTCCTCCAAGTGCTCAACATCGGGCTTATCGGCGACTTCACATATCTCCACAGAAAATAGTCCAGCGGAGTTAAATTGCACGATCTTGGTGGTTAATTCACGGGTCTGAAACGTGAAACTATGCGGTTACCAAACGTTTCCTTCAATAAATCAATTGTGGCACGGGCTGTGTGACATGCTACGCCGTCTTATTGAAACCACAGTTCCTGCACATCATGGTTGTTTAATTGATGAACAAAAAAGTCAGTAATCATGTCTCGACATACACTTGAAGATTATCATAACTCCAAATACGGCAGTTTTGTTTACTGACGTATCCATTCAAACATTAGTGAGATCACTGAACAAAATTCGCGTATGAAAATCGGGATCAACGGCAATCTTGTTTTGAGCCCATTTACCGAATCTACGCCTTACTAGGTGATCGTGTGGCTTCAATTCTTGCACGAGTTAGATTATCTAAGCACGCAAACCAAGATCTTTAGGCAAAATCTTCCATAAAGTGGATGGACACGTATCCAATTCCTGTGCACGATGGAGGATAGACTGATTCGGGTCTTCCTCTATGCTACTCTCTACAGAAGCAATGCCTTCTTCTGTAGCACCGTACAACGTCTCTGTGGATGCGTATTATCATTTATAGTAAACGTGGTGCGAAAATATTCCATAGTTACAAATTAATTGCTTTGATGGACGATTGACCGTGAAATGGACGTAGTGCGCGATACGTATTTTAAACAGAACCGTGATTTTGAAAATAAATTTGCACAATTTTGAAGCGTTGTTCAGGCGTCAGTCTATTCATGTTGAAATGCCAAACGTACACCACCGTGTACCTTTTAAAGATGGTTTTCCACTCCAGAACGAGGCAGGAGACTAATACTTAAGGCTAAAGGCCTTTCAACTATCCTGAAATAGTGCGGGACTTACTCAAGTAGTGAGCCATTAAAAATAACAAGAAGCATCAGATTAGGCTTATATTACAAAAGAAATAACTATGTATAAATATAACATGAAACTCCAACAAAACACTAAGAAAAAAATGTTCGAAAAGTACGATCAAAATATTACAAGAAAGCACGTCTCAAATAGCTTATTGTCAAACAAAAATTATCTCTTTATCGACTTGTAAAATGTTATATACTCTCTCATAAGGTAGAATTCCAACATACGCGAAAACCTAAACTACTCTAGTCGAGCTTTGTGAAAATTCTGAAATGATTATTTGAAATTGCCTGGCTTCAAACCCGTTGGTACTAATTTACTGATATTTACACATATGAAAGGGGTGTAGTGTAATTTATTGCCCTTCTCATATCGTCTCCAAGACGCAACAACAATAAGACAATTATTACAAAATTAAAATGACATCCTCTCTCTCCCTCTCTTTACCGACATGGGGGTTAGTAAAAAATCCAAATTGACTCACGATACTATAGTGGGTTCTGGTACGGTATCCGTGTGAAATACACAACCGTTGTAAGTGCCACCAAACGCAACACCACAATTAACTCACTACCCGCAATTTACCGAAATTCCACTGTCACACTTTTTTTTTTCGAAAAGTCCCTTTTTCGCGACGCTCTTCCGCAACTGACTTTTGCAAATCCCTTTCGCGACTCTCCCAAATTAACTCTCGATCTTTTCGCAACTGCTCTATCGCAAAATCCCTTTTCGCGACCCTCTTTCGCAACAGCCCGATCGCCCCTGTCCCAATTAATAGTATTCCCAAGTCCGAAAAACTGTTCCTAACACTTCTCCCTTTCACCGTCCCCTGATTGGTCTGATCTTTGTTTAATATATATTCCCGAATTTTTCCATAACCCTTCCTACTCAAGACCTACATCTTCTTTTTATTGAAGTCATTGGTCAGTTTTTATTTTAAATAAATTTTCGGACCCACCTATTCAGATATGGCCGAACTGAAATGCAAACTCATAGATTGCATTTTTCCCAGTATTATTACTTATCATCAGGATACGTTTGTTATGTTTACTTCGAAGGAAACATAATCTTCGTGATGCCGTCAAAGAACACCAACCATAAATTAAATTCAACGCTTACTCTATTGGACAAATATCGATATCGAAAAAACCAGGTGACCGACCCCGATCTTTATGAAAAAAATTACATTTTTTGTTAACTATCACAATGGCAGTTATTACAGGTTTATTGTGGCTCACACCTATTCACACTTGACCAAATAAACCCAGCTTCTTAAAGAAGCCGATTAGTTTGTATGGTGAGTGGTCTTTCAGGTCAGATAGTACGGCTGGCTCTGCCGAACTCTGCTGTTTCATCATTTTCTAAACAGAAGACAGACAGTGTCTTCCGACAGTCCGAGCCTCTGCATATGATGATTCAAATGACAATGACCTGTATACATCGTGGTTAATCCCTACTGTAGTCCAATAACTGTTTGATATCAAGCTTCGAAGGGTGAATAAACGCCTTGTAGTGAGCCAACCCTGGAAGATTCTGCCAGAAGTCCATAAATCTTCTTGCAACCCTAACTTGTATCAATGAGCCGGGTCGTCAGACTCACTTATTCGACTTCTGAGGGTTGTGGTAGGGGTGCGACAATTGGTTAACGGAAAAACATATTTTAAACATATATTGACTATTTAAGAACTGTAACATAATTTTACCATTGAAAATCATATAACTTAGTATCAGAGCAGCAAAAAACGAATGTTTCGACAAATGCGTGGATACTGGATGTTGTATTTGTGTTGGTTGAGTATAATATGTATCTGAAAGAGGATTTATACTTTATTTGGCGCCACAATATTGCATAAAATGAAGGATGTGTCTGAATAAAAGCATAAATGCGTTCACTTGAGAGAAGACCGTTTCAAAATAGCAGCAATTGATTTTAAGATGGCTTAGAAGTCAATGAACGACGCGACGCACGAATACAAGTTGCATCAATACTCTGTTTGAAAAAATGAATAGAAGAATCAGTACACCCTTCACTCAAGCAAAAAAATCTCATACTTCTTAGAGACATATTGATCAAAAATTCTAATCCCAGAAACCTTCTCAATTAAATAATTTTCAGTACAAATTCCGATGTAATCAACAGAAATTTATGTAATAATAGTTCATCTATCAATTTTTCTCATGGATCTATACCTAATTTTGGAAATTTATCTTCAAATATCATAAAACTATTTCATAATGCATAAAATATCATAATATACCAAAAAAATATTAAAACTATAAAGAATTTGAATACTAAATTGAAAGATAAAACGGATAATATAAAAAGTCAAATGTGATTCATAACATTAATTGTAATAATTGAAATTGAGAAATTATCCATTTCGAACCATATATATTTCCACTAACAAAAAAACCTGAGTACATCCTGCAATATTATATATTATGATAATTAGTTAATAACATATTAGTATATCAAATGTACGGATTAGGAAAGATATATCAATTATATCAAATTTAATTCTCTACTCAAAAAATATTGATGAAAAACTGGTTGGTTCACCCTTCACTGAAGGAAGAAAAAGTATTTTTATTGAAAAATGTACTGATGGATAATTCTTTTCCTGAAAACAACAGAAGAAAACAAAAATATTCTTATGGCAAATGGTAAGAAAGAAAATACCAATGCTACAAATAATTTTTACTACATGAAGTATTGATTCAATTTTATACAACTTTCCAACATAAGAATGCAAAATTCTAATATTTTTCTTGCAGGTGTTTTTACCAAACTCTGAGAGCTTTCGATAGCAAACCGTATAAAAGAACAAACAAGGAGATAAAACGTCCAGTTTGAGCAGAGCCATGAAGATGATAGCACAGCCTGCTATCGAAAGCGCTCCTATATAAAAATTAGAAGTTATTAAAGCTTCAAGTCCTTTTTGAGAACAAATGTTAATATTAAAATGTATATATTGTTTGTTTTCATTGTTATTGTTTGTATATAATTAAATTTCTTCAGTGAGAAAAACGAAAGAAAATGTTGAAGTTTCAAATAAATTCTTCAACATCGAATTTCATTCTGAAAAAAAAATTCAAAAGTAATAGACCAGTCACCTTTTGAATGATATACCACTTGGAAGTTTCGAATTTATATCAAAATATGACTTGTCGAAACAAAATATTGGGATATTCTGAAATGTTTGATCACATATTCTTTTCTGAGCCACAGGTAGGGTAAAATTTTCGGTTAAACCCCGTACAAATGCCTATTATATTTTCCAAACTTGATATACTCTTTCACCTATTTATGAAGTTATTTTCCTTACATTCATAAAAATAATCCGGCTCGAAGGACCAGCTTCATTCTTAATGATTACACATTTTACCGTACATTTTCAATTACTGAATGAATATTTGATTGTCTTTTTGGACTTACCATTTGGTTTCTCTACAGCGTTTCCGAAAACTGACAAATTCAATCCATGTTCGTAGGTGTTGACGCATTTGGAACCGTTTACGAAACTTTGTCCATCTGGGCAACATTTTTTGACACATTTGATCGTGTCACAAGTCCTCAAGCTCTCCTGGCATTCCCGAAGCACCAACGATTCATTTTCGGTTTTGTCTATACAGAACGAACCTGGATATAACACGTTTCTTTGATACCTTCCCGTATGATTGAGGAGAGTATACTGAAAATCATCGGTACCATGAAGAATAGTGTCTACCACCAATCTACAGTTCGTTAGCCCGACTTTAACGAATGGTTCTTTTAAAAAGTCCGCAGGGGAGGGTTTTTTAACACACCCGTGTGTTATGGCGTTGTAAACATACCCCAGAGGGCAGCATTTGGGAAAAAAACTGACGGTAACTCGCTGGACGCTGACACCCTCTGCACTGATGTTCAACGTTATCACATCGCTATCAAGAGCTTCAAAGCACAGTCCTCTTTTGTTCTGTTTCAAAAAATCCGTCGTGTTTGCCCTAACTTGCACTCTCTTGTTCAAGTCCTCGGAGCACTGAAAGCTGTCGCCGGTTTTAACAAAAGTCTCTTCCGGTTTGCAGCATTTGTTCACACTACGACAGTCAATCACTTTGAGAAGAACTATCGAGAATACCGTTACCGAAATCAACTTCATGTCTTATCGCGCGTTGAAATTCATGGCTACACTCGCAAATTCAGTAATCCATGCAATACGTGCGCTCGGCAGAAGGTGATGCGGAAGAATGGCAGCAGGTGACAGGACTTGGAGATTCCCCAACGTTAGGATCGCCGTGGTAGGGGTAAAGTGGGTTTCTCTCAATTATCAATGCAAATTATTGTTATTCTTAGGCGAGTGTTGTTGATTAATGCATGTGTATCCGAGACGAGTTTGGATTATTTTTGCAGATACGGATGGTTGGCGATGGTTACCCTGAGGTGTTATACAGGATGTTCATTAAAAGCATGCTGGTATTTAAGATTATTTTTGTTACTAAAGTTGAAAACTTTTTTTATGATAACTTCGGTGACTGGATATTTTTGTGAATATTCTATGCATCAAAAGGCTTCTTCCATTGCCAGTGGCCACTGAATAATTTTGAAGAAAAACATGGTAGGCCATTGTTTTTTCGTTGGGTTTTGGTTTTCGCATAAAAAAAAGATGAATTAATTAGCATGTCGCGGAAAAACGAAGTATGTAACTACAATGTCGGTCGGTAGCCGGTTGGTTCGACGTGGGTGCTTGGTTCACTCACTCAAATCGACCGCCGTGTTGGTTGGTGGTTCAAGCCGCAAGCTGAACGATCGATTTTCACTTACATTAGTCCAACCCGCGTTAGGAATGATACCTTAAAAGGTAAGACCTCGTTAGTCCTTAGCTCGCACAAGGTTGGACTTCTGATGTTTGTCGTCCGTAGGGGTGCGACAGCTGGTTAACAGAGAAACATATTTTGAACATATATTTTTTTTTTCAAACAAACAATGATTTACCCAAGTGAATAATTTTCTGCAATAAATTTTTTATTGAAATATCAAATAAAATTCCATATTTCAGTCCACACGTTATATAGTTATTAATCTGAAACAATCATAAAGCATAATTGAGAATCAGTTTCTTTCCTTTCAGAAATTGTCCTTTTATAACTTGTCCATTTTAAATGAATATGTAGAATTTCCTCACTGGTATTTCAATTTGTATTTAGTTTATAACTAACCTCAGATAAATTATTCAAGAAATACTTCATTGTGAGATTTTCACTAAACAGTTTCACAAAAACGCAACACGTGTTTCGCTTTACAATAACTTCTTCAGGTGTTTAAAGACCCGTATGAAGACACGCCTGAAGAAGCTACGGTATAGCGAAACACGTGTTGCATTTTTGTAAAAATTTCAGCTTCTTCAGGCGTGTATATATACATACCATAAAACAATGATTTCATAAAATGCTTATGAAACTAGCCCTTTCAATGTATTCTGTAGATTGTTTCAAAATACCACTCGTAATCGGTAACCAATGAAAGTGTTAGCAGATCAAACAAAAATGACGTGACCGATATATTCTATTTTCATTTCTAAAAATACATTTCGTGCATCAGCATCGGGGAACGATTTCAGGAAATTATTGTCATTGAATCCGAATAATTTGTAAATATTTTCCCAAATTTGTGTGATATAATAGTCAAATTGAAAGACTTGATTATTTTTAAGTTAGTTACCTCACCAATTTTCCTTTCCTGAATTAAATACTTTCAGAAAGATGTATGATGTATGATATTAAACATATGAATAAAAACTAGACGGATCGGCGTTGACTCCCACACTTTCATTTTCTGTTTTATTTTATTCGCGAGCATTTCATTATGTGTTAGTTGTACTGATCATTTGTCTTCCAACTTCTCCAATGTATTATTTTTAGAAGGTTTTTCTGGTGGTGAAGCAAATACTCCATGATAGCAAAGTTGTCCAAAATTGTGTATTTTTATGTTATAATCATTTTATATTATCATAAATCTGCACTGAAACTGATTTGAAAGTTCCCTTTTTTTCCATTGGTGTGAAAGGAATTTGATTGCTCGAATTTACATTCAGACTTTTCATTTCATTAAATTGATAATTAATTGAGTCCCTGGGATATCTATAAAATAGTTACGAAAACAACGAAAACAGTTAATGCTAGAAATCTCTGTCAATATTTGTTGTAGGTAGTCAGAAATGATGAGACACTAATTTCATAACAGAAGTGACCTGTTAGGAGGTAAGACCTCGTTGATTCTTAGCTCGCACAAGTTTCGACTTCTGAGGGTTGTCGTTCGTAGGGGTGCGACAGCTAGTTAACGGAAAAACAGATTTTTTAAACAGATTTAAACAGGATATACATATCCCATACTTCATTTCCCTACCTTCCAAATGCACATACTTCATGAAAATCCATTATGTATTTGAAAAACACTTCATTGCGAGATTTCCACTAAACAGTTTTAGAAAAACGCAACACGTGTTTTGCTATACAATGGCTTCTTCAGGCGTTCCTTTACAGGCGTGTCTTTACGGTACACGCCTGAAGAAGCTATTGTATAACGAAACACGTGTTGCGTTTTTGTAAAAATGTTAGTGTTCATACTGCATGAAATATCAAGTAATGTACGTAGATGATACTAATTATGACCCGGAAACCAGATCAGCATATTCCTATCCGTGAGAATTTTAGATTTAACATTTCAAACCTTTACGGGAAGAAGAGGCCAATCAAGAAGAAGAACTTAGGTAAAAACCTAGGAAGCAGATCGTGTAAGGACAGTCTACTTCCGATCACGTAACAAACATTACTTTACCTGTATAGTAGGGAGCGGATCAAGTAAGGTCGGTCGACTTCCGAACACTTAACAGAAATCGCCAGATGACGACAAATGAGAGTTTGTCGAAACGTCATGAGATCAATCCCATTGAGGATGATAGGATAATGGTACACCCTCTTTGTGAATTTTTGGTAATCCTTGGTATTATAGTCGAAGTAAACGATATTGTGCACATTTAAAGTTGGCGACACTCAAAAGACAAAAAACCAATACATAGAAATGAACCGGCTGCGAAGTAGTCCACGTGGACTGTATAATTGGCGGTTCGTATTGGATAATTTTTTCTAAGCGAATTTTATGATTGGCTGAAGAGTCATAAAATTGAATTTGAAGTCATGTTATGGTGACGAATAGGAATCGGTGAATACGGGGATGGTTATCACTGTCGTGTTCAGTTCAGGAACTGATCGCGATTTTGGTGTTGACATTCGATATTGGTGCAGTTATAATTACTTAAAATTTTTGTTATCTGTTCGCAACGTGGCGTCCTTGGACAAGTACTAATAGTAATAATGAGTGTTATAACAATGCAGACTTTGTCCAGTGTAGTGATTCCAATAGCGATGGTGAACAATGAGAAAATAAGATTCGGAGGCATTTGAATACTGAAACACAGAGAGTATGTTTCAATGTATATAAGAATCTACATCTCAAGTTTGGTTTGGAGGGAAACAAACTATTACAAGCAACATCAGATTTGACCGAAATTCCTTTCTCAACTGTACGTAAAATAGTCAAAAATAAAATTTATGAACGCAAGACGCAATGTGATACAGGATTACCAAAACTTTTAGATGTTCATCTAATAAAATCATTGAAAAAACAATATACGACTATTACAAAAGCGATGAGATTTCTACAACTGAAAGCATAAGGAAGAAATTGAATACTTCCAGCCATAAAGTGAGCTGCTGTGACAAAACTCTTCAGAATTGGATAAAGAAACTAGGATTTAGATTCAAAATAATGAACAAACGTCGAATTTTCATGATGTACTGTTTGGAACCTTTGGTGTAGTAATGAATATTTTTTTAAGGGGGAGAAAGACCTTCGAACACACGGGACCGACTCCACGAGTGACTGGTGCTTCGTTAGCCAATAAAACTCTCCCCTCTTCGCCACGAATGATCCATCCGGTACCGTCCGTTCGGACATTCGTCAGATGGATCTGGCATCTCTATATCACCTGCCTCTCCATCTTACTTTTGCTGCTGCTGTCGCTTTTATGGCCATTGCGGTATTGGCATATTTCCAATTGTTATTTCTTGTTACCACAAAGTTCTCTATGGAAAGTGGCTCTCCGATGCCAGCCTGAAGGGTCTGCCTTTCTGCTGTCCATCTCGGGCACAGAAACAACGTATGTTCAGCATCGTCTATTTCATTTCGACAGTAGGCGCACTCTTCACCAGGAGTCCTTCCAATTCGATGCATGTAGCTGCCGAAGGAGCCATGGCCTGTCAGGAGCTGCGTTGCGAAATAATTAGTTCTCCTGTCTTTGAGGACCATCCAGTCTTTCACCGATGGTACCAGTTTCTTTGTCCATTGGGCCTTTTCCTGGTTGCTGTCCCACCTCTCCTGCCATTTGTCCATAGTTATTTTCCTCGCCCTTCTCCTTCGTGCTGCCAACGCCTCGTCTCCACTCCTCTCGTGGGTGTATTTCTCTCTCCGCAGCAAGAAGGTCTATAGAGATCATGCCTGCTACGACCTGTGCCGCTTCTGCAGACACTGTTCTGTACGCAGATATGATCCGTACTAGGCTCTTTCTCTGGGTCTTGGTCAGAATTTGCCTGTACTTCTCCATCCTCATGGCTGGGTACCAAATCGGAGCTCCTTACAGTAGGATGGACTGTACCACTCCTCCTAGTACCGCCCTTTTGCTGCTATCAGGTCCCCTAATGTTCGGCATCAGTCTTGCTAGGAATGCCGCTCTAGCTTCAGCTTTTTTGGCCGCTGCTACTACGTGAGGTCCATACAGTCTGCCACTGTCGATAATTATCCCCAGGTACTTAAGGGTTTTTTTGGGAATTATTTCGGTTTGTCCAAGCCGAAAGGTTATGTCATCCCGCTTCCTCTTTCCCTTCAGTATTACGGCCTCACTTTTTTCCGGCGCTAATCTGAGCTTGTGGATGGCGATGAAACTCTCAATATCTCGTAGGCTCCGTTCCGTTTTCCTGATGAGGTCTTGTCCGTCTTTTCCCTTAGTTATAAGAGCGAGATCGTCGGCAAAGCCGATGATCTTAGCACCTTCAGGAAGGTTTAATCTGAGCACCCCATCATACAGAATATTCCACAGGAGCGGCCCTAGGACCGAACCCTGTGGGACTCCTACGTGGACTTCTCTGGGTTTGTCTCGCTCTACCTTTATCGTTCTGTTTCGCAAGTACGA